CCGGGAGCAGCCCTGGCCGTGCCACCTGGGAAGAAGTGGTTGCTTGGAAGCTCTCGCAGGCAGCCGAGGGCACAAAAGCAACATTCATCCTCGGTGCTGGCAGGGACTGGCAGCTGGGCCCCAGGTTTCCTCCCATTTCCGGGAGGTTTTCCTCTGGCAGGGGGGCAAGTGACAGATGGAGAGGGTCCTGTACAGCTCCCTTGGGATACTTGAATAGACCTTGCCTGGTACCAGGTCGCTGTGGTGACCTTGGGCAAAGCCCTGTCCTCTGTTTGCTGCTTGCTGAAATGAAAGGAGGATGTGGGACCCCGCTGATGGGTGATAAAGGAGGCCCATCTCTTTGTGAAGTTAAGATCCTCTCTGGAACACGGTTTGAGCAAGATTAGCTCTCCCCCGTCTTGCAGTGCAGACCCCTGCCTGGCTGGGGACTTAAGATGATGCTCTCGGAAGGCATCTGGGCAGTTTAAGAGTCCTGCCATCTGGATCTCCTTAGGGAGAAGGGAGACGGAGGTCTGCTGTTCTCTGGGTCAAAGTGGATGGAATCCATCCCCAAGGTTTGGGGGGCTCCACTGCTAGGCAGTTGTCCACTGCTGGAAAGGTAGCCTGGAGCTACCTGGTGTCTCCTGCTGTAGGAGCAGTGAGGAGGCCTGGGCCCCAGGAAAGCTTTCTCCCAGCCTGGGTCTCCCCTATCCCAGAAAGCCCAGGACGGGGAGGGCTCTACGGTCACTGCTGACCTGCAAGGGAGTCAGGATTAGGTAGCGATTAAACCAGGGCTGTGTAGGGTCTTTGGTGAGGGGTGGTTTCTCCGGCTTGGATGAGCAGTATGCCTGTAGCTGTTTTGGAGGATGGGAGGGTTGGAGTCTCTGGTTGACCTAGGCAAGGGGCAGAGGTAGCCTGTCCTCATTGATCCCTCTGAGGCTGTCCTGTGGGTCAGTGACCAGGGAAAGGTGAGTGGCAGGAGGCTTGGGGAGGACACGTGGGGGCCTGCTTGCCTACGGGGTAATGAGAGATGGGGGGGTGGGTGGGGCTGTCCTCTGGTGGTGTGTGCCTACTTCTCGTTTGGAGAGCCACTTTTTGGCTTCCTACTGGAATGTTCCCTCTGCTTGGGTTGTTCACCTTCCTCCCTCTGTTGCTTGAAGCCTAGCTCAAATGCCATTTTATCTGAACTCATAGGAGACCACTCTCTTCCTTCCCTGCTGCTCCCCAGAACTCTGTCCACACCCTTCCATTACCAAGGAGGCACAGACCGTGGAGAAGACAGTGCACTCCAGCCTCAGACAGAACCACATTTGCATCCGAGCTCTGCTTCTTACTCGCTGTTTGACCTAGGACTTGTTACTTAGCCTCTCTGAGCTTTCATTCTTTCATCTGTAGGATGGCGACAGTGATACCTCTAGGGGGAGGTGGGAGTAAGATACAGTACCAAGACTAGTGCTGTGCACACAGGGAATGCTTGTGACATGGACAACTTTGACTGTGGCGTGTACCAGAGTGCTCACTATCACAGTTAGCCGGGCACACACAAGCCTAGTGTGCAGACACCGTCACATCGAGTGCACCCTGCTACCTTGCCCCTCTGGTGAGACAGAGCGTTTATGTTCAGCCGCCGTCTGCAGCATCGATCTGGGTGAAAAGAGGGGTCCAGTGAAAGTCCCTTCGAGCGCCCCGGGCAGAGGGCGGGCAGGATGGGACCGACCACTCACCCAGCTGCCTCTCCCTACAGTTTCGGGAGAATATTCAAGACGTGTTACCTGCCCTGCCGAACTCAGATGACTATTTTCTCCTGCGCTGGCTCCGAGGTGAGGGAAGAGGGGCTGTGGGGGCTGGGCAACTCATTCTGAACAACAGAATGACATACCCTGGACACCCTGCCCCTAGCCATCTGAGACTTTTGGGAGGAGGCTCAGCCTTTAGAGTCCAAAAAGCACTTGGCAATGACAAACGCTCAACCCTCAGGCTGGATAGTGTGCACATGGAGGCTCAGAGAGGTGAGGTGAGTTGCTCCAGGTCGCACTGTGGGCGAGTGGCAGACCAAGAGGAGACCAGAGCCCCCACGTGCCGTCTGTCAGCCAGCACCCTTTCCAACTCCTACACAAATCTGCTTTGCTGGTGGGTTGGGGGAAGTCGAGGCCAAGCGAGGTCAGAGCTGAGGTTAGAACCAGGGTCCTGAGCCCTGGGAGGGCCATGTTGGATGGCAACCCGACAGCAGTGGGGGTAATGTGGTGGAAACATGGAGGATTCAGCCTGACCTGGTTGACAAGACCCTTCTCAAACTCCCTGCCAGGATCTGGGCCCCAAGTGCGGGTTCTGGCTCCGCCCTGGTGTGGCTGTGGCCCTTGGGTCAAGGTCACATACTCTCTAGGAGAACAGGACGAAGCAGGGTGCCCTGCTTGTTGCAAGATGTGACACAACAGTGCTCTGTACACCGTGGTGATTTTGCTACTGGCATCGGCGTGCTCCCCACTAACTCCTAAAACCTTTCTCTTCTTTTCCCTCTTCGTCATTCAGAGCCACCCTCCTTTGGCTCTTCTGACACACTTTTATTTTCTTTATAGACACTTTACTATAGACATAGAAATGACAAAGGAAATGCCACTGTCAGATCAGCAGGGCTCGAATTGTGTGGTAGAATCATATCCCAAGATGTGAAAGTATAAATGACACCCTGTTCTTAGCTTGTGGACACACACCTCTGCGCCCTACAAATCTGAAAGCATGTAGGTTTCTTTGCTTTCCAGAAATCAGATCAGGCTGGGGTGTGGCTCAACTGGTAAAGCCACCTTGCAAGCGTGAGGCCCTGAGTTCAAATTCTGGTACTTCAAAAAAAAAAAAAAAAAAACCCAAAAACCCAACCCCTCCAAAAAACCCAAACAAGTTTTCAGAAATGAGGCAGAGCTCATTTCTGGTAACACCCAAGGGGAGGTACACCCAAGAGAGCCACGTGAGGCTCTCTCATTTGCCCAAAAAGCTGCGATCTCCCCCAGAGAGGGTGGAAGGGCAGTCTGGGGGCGGCAGTGGAGTTCGTTCAAGCTGAAGGAAATTCTGTCCCAGCGTTTGCTGAAGGGCTGGAACTAGAAGCAGGTGGGTGGACAGAGTGGGAAGAGAGTGGCCTCCTTAAAGGGCCAGCTGCAAGATTCAACCAACTACAGAGCTTCTGCTAGGAGGAAGAGGAGCGTGGTTTCAGAGAGCCATTGCACAGCCACATGGCTGTCCTTTATCTAGGCAGAGGGTCCTGGCAGCTGGTCTCCCAGACACCTAACACACATCCCACTACCACCACCGCCAGAGTCCTGAGATAACCCCTTTTCCCGTAAGGCTAGATGGTCTGCTGAGTACCCATATCTGCACCGGTGACACGCTTATAAGAACATCACGGTGTGGTCTTTCCTATTTACGAGATGAGAATACCGACTCAGAGAGGGCAAGACACTTACCTGACGGCACACAGCCAAGGTAAAGTGGAGCCAGGGCAGCACCCGGAGATCATGTTTTCCATCAGCCTCCTTTCCAGTAACACAAGAAGAACTGCATTTCATTTGTGCCTGTCACTCCCTGGGTAGGAGCTCAGGCCTGATCAGATCCTATACCTTTAAAAATCAACCTTGCTTCTCTTTCTCCTGTTGATTCTAAAAGCCACATCTGCAAGCGGCACACCAGCAGAATGTCTTTCCCTAACCCAGGCGTGAGCTTGGGGTTCAGTTTTCCGTTGCTTCTCAGGCACTGAGCAGGTACACAAATGCCCACTGCCACCCCTGGCTGGGACTGAGCTCTGAGCACCCTGGCAAGGAGGGTCAAACGGGAGGTAGAACAGGAGGGAGCAGAGAGGTCTGGGTCTCTGTAGAGTACAGGACGAAGGCGTTGGTACACAAAAAGCCTGGGAGGGAGGTGGCCTTGCTCAAGATGGACCCTAGCAGATAAGGGTTAACTGGAGAGCTCTCCTCCAGATAAGGGGGTTCAGAGCTCACCACCACCCCACCCCTGTTCTATAGACAGATAATGGCTCTCCTTCCAGAAGAGTGTCCTTTCTATGGGAGAGTCCCGCTTCTCTCGGGGCATGTTACTTTGCACCTTACTGCTTTCTAGCTTATTAGATGATTTAGTCAGAGATGTGCAGTATCGTCCAAGGTCAAACATAGAAGGAAAAAGAGTTGGGATGCAAACCCCCATTACATTCCTCCCAAAGCTGCACCTGGCCAGGTGTGGTGGTGCATGACTATAATCCCAGGCACTTGGAAGGCAGAGATAGCATGATCATGGCTCAAGACCAATTCCTGGCAAAGTCAGCATGAGCCCCTACCCGGGAGACAAAACAAAAGCCAAAGGACTCGGTGGGTCGTAGAGTCCTTAGCGAGACAGAGGGCCTGAGTTCGATCCCCAGTACCACAAAAGTGAATAAATAATTCTAAAAAAAGCTTCACCGGGCTGTCACTGTAGCCCAGGCAGGGTGGTGGTAGTTAGTACTCCCAAGAGTGGCACCAAGTATCCAGCACCCATGATGGGCGTGGCGTTGTCAGCCCTCTGGATGGGTCTTCTGAGCCCAGGAGAGAGGACTGGATTTCATGACAGCAGAGCAATGGCAGGTGCTCGGTTGCTCTCAGAGAACAATGATGAAGGGACCGGTGACAGTTCAGAGGGCAGCCTGACTGGCCCAGGTTCTGGGACCATGTCACCAGATTGAATTTCCCAGAGGATGTACAGCTGGGAGGGGGACAGGTTCATAGGTCAGATAGCCAAACTGGTTAGAATCCGGATTTCGGAAACATTTCAAAGGGTGGAATGAAGGCTGGGTGCTGGTACTCACTCCTGTAATCCTAGCTACTTGGGAGGCTGAGATTGGGAGGATCAAGGTTCAAGACCTGCCTGGGCAAATAGTTTGCAAGACCCCATCTCCAAAATAACGAGATCAAAATGGACCTGGAGGCGTGCAAGAGTGAAGCCCTGAGTTCAAAATCCATCCTTCTCCCCCCTCAAAAAAAAGGTGGATGAAATTAGATAAGGATGGATCTCGGGCCCTTCCCCCTCTCCAGGGAGGGACAGAAGCTTAGCAACAGCACAGGTGCAAAGGATTTGGGGGTTTCAGTTAACTCTAAGCTCCACTTGAGCCAAGGGCGTGACTATCGCTTTGAAAATTCTTAGGATTTCCTGGGGACAGAAAAGAACACCTGGGGCTATGCTGGGGTTTGGAGAGCTGGCTGTTGAGGGGCCCGGGTAAACTGAGACCATGCAAAAAGGAAGTTATTTAGTGCGCCTTGAAGCCGTGTGGAAGGAATCGGTAAAGGCTCCGAGGGTGGGCAGCATGAAGTAGGGGGGTCCCGAGTGACCGCGCAGAATTTACCAGAGAGAGACACCTGTCATGGGTCCCAGGAAGCAGCCCTGTTCTCCGAGTGTCTCTGGGGTGGCCGTCAGCTCGGCAGAAGCAGTGAGTGCAGATGGCAGGTTCTGATTATCTGGGAGCACGTGACCTGGAGGGGACAGTGCGATTTTGTTGTTTGAACTTGAGCAGGACGGCTTGTTGGGGTGCAGGCCTAAGATAAAGGGTTGGTCCAGGTGAGCGGCACTTCGGAAGCGTGTCAGGATTCCTCCGTGTTGACGTGTGGGTCCTTTAGGGGTATGACAGGACTGGCAGGAGGGACGTCCTGCCAGCTCTGCCCCAGATCCCTGGGGAAGCCGTGTTCCCTTTTGAACTGTGGGTCAATTTCTCCTAGACGGTGAGGGGGAGGTCAACTGATAAAGGGGTCCAGGGTTCACTTTTCCTGGACCTTCACCTGGCTGGTGAGTCCACTGGCATAAAATTCTTTCGCCCTGGGTTTGCAGTGCTGCCCCCAACGGCTTTGAACTTGACCGGCTCTTCCATGATCTGTCGTGTTCTAGAAGCCCTCAGTGGAAGTGCTGCCATGTGAGCTGCTCTGAGAGTCAGCTGGGAAGGTGGCCAAGATGTCCAGCCTGGGAAGAGGTTCCTGTCCCCACCCTTGGAGTCCCACTCTGCTGGCCTAACCTTGACTGTGTTTCCCTGTTACAGCACGAAATTTCGACCTGCAGAAGTCAGAAGCCATGCTCCGGAAGGTGAGACTCCTTTGGCTCAGCCTCACCTTGCCTGGCCTTCCTCTGCCCATCCCCACCAACCCCCGTCGCAGCCTTTTTGCATCTGAATATGAGCTGACCACTGTTGCCTTCTCCCTCTGGGACATCATGCTGTCCCTTCCTGGGAGACCAGAGATCTCCTGGTCCCGGGCCAGCCAAGGGTGGTATCTGCTCCCTGGCACCTCTAAAACAGACAGGGCCTCCTTTTCCATTCCTGCTCAGTGTCCCCTAGGGTCCCCTGCGATCTGGTTCTCGTCAGCTCATACTGTCACTATCTCTAGGTGCTTATTAAGGACTCCCGCACAGCCCTCGCCCACATCTCCATTTTTTTTTTTAATTTCTATTTATTTATTTATTTTGGTGGGACTGGGATTTGAACTCAGGGCATTGCACTCACAAAGCAAGCGCTCTATCACTCGAGCCACACCTCCTGTCCATTTTGCTCTGGTTATTTTGGAGATGAGGTCTTGGGAACCATTTGCCCAGGCTTGGCCTCGAACTTTGACCCTCCCGATCTCAGCCTCCCAAGTAGCTAAGATTATAGGCGTGAGCCACAGGTGTTGGCTCTCTCTCTCTCTCTCTTTTTTAACCTCTGTTTGTGTGTCTGCAGCACGTGGAGTTCCGGAAGCAAAAAGACATTGACAATATTACTAGCTGGCAGCCTCCAGAGGTGAGGACAAATGATCCGCTTCATCCCTGTGAGGGGAGGACTGGGAGCCTCGATGCCGAGGGAGCCCTGAGGTTTCCAAAATGGGTATCCGTTGGCACCCAGGGGAGGGACGTGATGTGGAGCGAGGGACTGATGAACCCTGAGCAGTGTCTGTGATCCAGGGAAGGTTTGGATGCCCACCCGGAGCCTCCTGTGTGTCTCTCCCAGGTGATCCAGCAGTACCTGGCAGGGGGCACGTGTGGCTATGACCTGGATGGCTGCCCAGTCTGGTATGACATCATCGGCCCTCTGGACGCCAAAGGTCTGCTGCTCTCAGCTTCCAAGCAAGACCTGCTGAGGACCAAGATGCGGGACTGTGAGCTGCTCCTGCAGGAGTGTGCCTGCCAGACCACGAAGGTGGGCGGCCCAACACGGTCGGGACCGAGCTGGCGCGGGCGTTGAGGCCGAAGAAGGGGTGTCACACGGGGATGGGGCACAGTCACATCGTTAGATCTCACAGATCACAGAAATCTCAAGGCTTCACACTGACATTTAACTTTATTTTATATTGTGATGCCGGCCATCGAACCCAGGGCTTCCATGTGCTGGGCAAGTGCTTTACCACTCAGTTAGAACCCTGCCCTGCCAGATTTTTATTTGGTTAAATAAGGGCTTAAAATGACCATCTGTTGTTGTCATAATTGATACCATAAGCCATAGGGACAGTATCATCTCAGAATAAAAGGCTGTCCTTTAAACTGAATTAATTTTTTTTTTTTTGGTACTGGAGTTTGAACTCAGGGCCTACACCTTAAGCCACTCCTCCAGCCTTATTTTTGTGATGGGTATTTTTCAAGATAGGGTCTTGCAAACCATTTACCGGGAGCTGGCTTTGAACCTTGATCCTCCTGATCTCTGCCTCCTGAATAGCTGGGATTACAGGTGAGAGCCCCGGCACCTGGCTACATTGGATAAATGTAGCTTCATGAAAAACTCACTATGTCTGGGCGCGGGAGCACATGCGTATAATCCCAGCACTTGGGAGGCTAAAGCAGGAGGATCACGAGTCGGAGGCCAGCCTGTGTTATGTAGTGAGACCCCATCACAAACAAATACTCCAAGAGCCAGGTGTGGTGCTTCATGCCTGTAATCCCAGCTACCCTAGAGGTGGGGGCAGGAGGATTGTGGTCCAAGGCTGGTCTGGGTGAGAGCAGAAGACAAAGTAAAAACTGTGGCTGATGTCTTATGCCCATAATCCCGGCTACGTGGGAGGCTGAGATTGGGAGGATTGTGGTTCCAGGCCAGCCGGGGAAAAAGCGAGATCCCATCTCTAACATAACCAGGGCAAAAAGGACTGGAGGTGTGGTTCAGGCAGTACATCACCTGCCCAGCAAGCGAGAAGCCATGAGTTCAAATCCTAGTATGGAAAAAAAATACATAAAAGTAAAAAAAGTAGGCCCTGAGTTCCTAGTACTGTCAAACCAACTAACCAAACAAAACCCCCTTCAACAACCCAAAAACCCAAAGTCTGGGGACACAGATCAGTGGTAGAGACCTCGCCTAGCACACACGGGGGCCTGGGTTTGGCTCCCAGCACCTCAGAATCAGATGAACAAACCAAATGCACTGCGCCGTGGCTGTTTTTGTCACGTATGTGGGGAGAGTGGAATCATGTCATGGACCAGTCCATCCCTGGACAAGGACTGGGTGCCACTGGTGTAGACGAACTCAGATTCTGTGCTTCTCTAGTCTGTATTCAAAGGCAATCAGGACAGCCGCTCTCCTTACTGAGAAAAAGACAGGCGCAAGCTGGAGCTTTCACCCTGGCCTTCTTTCCTTCCTTCCTCCCCTCAGTTGTAAAGAGCCACCTAGACGATGTGACAAAGTCTAGGGACTTAACATTGTCACCTGCAACCATTCACAGACAGCCTACTGTATGCAGACCCCAGGGGCTGGGAACACAGGCGTGTTTGACGTGACCTTTAGGGCTTAGGTGGAACAAAGCCCCTAGGCCTGAGCAACAAGTAGCTTAGGTCCAGATGCTGCATGGGTGCTACCCGCAGTGACTTAGAGGAAGGAGGAGGCCACCAGGCGAACCTGCTGGGACACAGGAGACCTCAGATGTAATGTAAATCCATCCAGTCACTTACTGGCTGAGAACACAGGGACCTAGGCAGAAGGAGTCACCTCTCCAGGCTGCCATTCAGGCCTTCACTTGGAAAACCCTTGGGGACCCGGCCCCAACCAGACCTGGTTGCTCTGTGGGTGCCTGATGCAGTCACCTTGACCCTGAACTGGGCCTGGCTTCTGCAGCGGGGCACTGCCATGACCTCTTGCTGTCTTTTCTTGCAGCTGGGTAAGAAAATAGAAACCATCACCATGATTTATGACTGCGAGGGGCTCGGCCTCAAACACCTCTGGAAACCCGCGGTGGAGGCCTATGGCCAGGTAAGGACACGGGGTGGGCAGGAGGGAGCCTGGGTGCAGCGGTGACGGCAGATGCCAGCCTGGAGGAAGCAGGGCTTCTCTCCCTGGCACAGAGGCCTGAGCCTGCTGGACCCAAAATGATTTCTGCCTCCACAGTTTCTCTGCATGTTTGAGGAAAATTATCCTGAAACACTCAAGCGTCTGTTTGTTGTTAAAGGTAAGTTGGGAAATTGTGGTGATGAAGCCAAATGGGAAAGGGAGGTCAAAAATATTACTTGGTCGAGCTCGGTGGCTCACTCCTGTAATCCTAGCTACTTGGGAGGCTGAGATCAGGAGGATCACAGCTTGAGGCCAACCTGGGGAAAACAGTTCTCAAGACCCCATCTCCAAAATAACCAGAGCAAAATGGACTGGAGGCGTGGCTCAAGCAGTAGAGCGCCTGCTTTGCAAGTGTGAAGCCCTGAGTTCAAATCCCAGTTCCAATAAGATAGGAAGAGGTCATTTGGCCATGTCCCCCATGTGGACGGGGAGGCTGGACCTCAAACAGGTGTCACGTTGAGACTCACTGCTGAGCCTCCTATGTGCAGCCCACAGGACCAGGGGACATGTGGCCCAACATGGGGTCAGGGTGCTGCAGAGACGTGGGCCGTGATGCCACTGTTAGGGACTGAGTGACATCTGCTCCCATCCTCACATGGCGGGGTCTCTGTTCCAGCCCCCAAGCTGTTTCCTGTGGCCTATAACCTCATCAAGCCCTTCCTGAGTGAGGACACGCGGAAGAAGATTATGGTCCTGGGAGGTGAGTGGCCCAGATCCGTCAAGCCCCACGGACTGCTCTGTGGCCCAAATGGGTCTGGCTTTACAGGTGGCTCTGTCCACTGCTTTGGTAGCAGTGGGACGCAGGAGCAGGTGGGGGCAGAGCCGTCTGTTTGAATAAGAAACCTTTTTCTCAGACATTCTAGAAGCAAGCCCTGGGCTCTCCATCGTTCACTCAAAGATGAATGAAACTAGCCCGGAGCCGGTGGCTCACGCCTGTAATCCCAGCTACTCAGGAGGCAGAGATCAGGAGGATCCTGATTTGAGACCAGACCATGCTAATAGTTTGTGAGACCCTATCTCGAAAAAACCCAACACAAAAACGGGCTGGTGGAGTGGCTCAAGTGGTATAGTGCCTTGCCTAGCAAGTGTGAGGCCCTGAGTTCAAACTCCAATACTGCCCAAAAGATTCCCCCCAAATCCCAACTATCTAAGGAGCCAAGAAAGGTGGCTCACACCTGTTACCCCAGCTACTTGGGAGGCAGAGATCCAGAGGATCGTGGTCAAGGCTAGCCTGGGCAAAGACTTAGAGACCACATCTCAACAAATAAGCCAGGCTGGTGGCACACACCTGTAATCCTGGTTACATGGGAGGTGTAAGTAGGAAGATCATAGTCCACCCAAGCCCAGGGAGAAAAGTGAGGACTCTAGGGGCTCTCCTAGGAGTTGGAGGGGGTTAGAGAGAGAGCTATCTGGGATGGAGAGGGTCCCTGAAGGGGTGTCATTGGCCCAGCTCAGTTACTGCAGCTGACCTTGGCATTGGTTGGGTCTGTTGGGCCCAGTGCAGGTATCCAAATCCATGGCCTCCCTTAAAATTTATGTAACAGAAGGACAGAATGAAAAATAATGAACGCAAAAAGAGCTGTGGGTGTGGTTCAAGTGGTAGAGCACCTGCCTAGCAAGCGTGAGGCCCTGAGTTCAAACCCCAGTACCGTCAAAGGAAAATGAAAAGAAGGAAACTTGCTCTTTTAGGAACTTAGAGTATCAGCTATGGAGAGGAAGTTAAGAGACCAGAAAGGACTCAGAGAAGGTGCCATGGAGGTCACAGCAGCGAGATTAAGGGTGACTGGGAGTGGCTCCACTCCTACACACGCCTACGCTGTGCCAGGCACTGGTGCCAGGCTCCAGAGAGAATTGAGACAGAGTCCTCTGAAGAGCTCTCAGGGAAGGGAGACGCAGCAGATGTTTATCAGCCTGGTTACAAATGGAGGGAAAGGGAAAACACTGGGAGCGACTGGCAGGGGCGCCCACCCTTCCCTGCCGCACTGGGGAGAGGGTGGCGCCACCTGCCATGTGAAGCCAAGCAGGTGGCTGCTTGGCAGAAAGACGAGGCTTGAGCAAAGACCTCCAATCAGAAGATCACGGGCAGTGATCAAAGAATGGGAGGCAGAGGGCGGCAAGAGATGAGGCTAAGATGGAGCCCAGGAGCCAGGTGGCAGAGAATCCGGGCCACCAGGTCAAGGAGCTGGGAGAGGCCGCTGGCAACCAGAGAAGAGTTGTGGCAGGGGAACCACGATGAGATTTTTAAGCTGATACGTTGTACTGGCAAAGATACCAGTTTGGTGTCGCCGTCCAAGCAAGGGGTGTTGTGTGACCTGCGGCACTGCTGATAACAGGCTGGATTTGTGACTTATTTGGAATAAAACAGCAGAACTTAACTGACTGGAAGGAGAGATCTGGAATGGCTGGGGAAAGCCACTGGTAGAAGTTTGAATGAGCCAGAAGCTCATTTTGTGAGACCCACGGGTGCTGGGAATCCGTGAGCCTGCAGGTGACACTGGAGATTTGGGAGTTATCAACTAAAGCCAGCAGCCAGGTGCGGTGGCTCACGCCTGTAATCCCAGCAACTCAGGATGCTGAGGTCAGGAGGATGGCGGTTCAAAGCCAGTCCTGCACAAACAGTTTGCAAGACCCTATCTCGAAAAAACCCATCACAACAAGGGCTGGTGGAGCAGCTCAAGCGGTAAGAGCGCCTGCCTAGCAGGCATGAGGCCCTGAGTTCAAAACCCGGTGTTACCAAAAATCACTTTTAAGTAAGTACAGGCAGCAGCTAAAAGGCTGAGAGTGCTAAGACTACCTGGTGACGAACAGACCTTGAGCCCTGGGGGAGTATCCAGGTTCAAGAGCAGGCAGAGCAAGGGGAGCCCAATGGGAAGGGAGGCTGAGAAGTGATTAATGAGGTCGGCAGAGAAGCAGGTCAACAGGGATTGGAAATGCAGAGAAACGGACACAAGGGAAAATGTGACCCAAAAGCCACAAGGAAGACACACAGGAGTCAAGCCAGCCCAGGGACAGACAGTTCTGTTTTTGCTACAGAAAGTGCTAGAAAGCTGGGTTGGGACGGTCCCCAGGGAGGCCCCACCACCTGCGGGGCTGAGCTGGGGTTGGGTGAGAGATTTAGGTAGCATATTGAAAACGACTGTTGCAGATGTGTCGTGACACATTCAGGGAATTACTGAGTTCTACTCCTTGCTCTGGCAGCAACAGATTCTGCCTTTTTATTTTTCTTGGCAGCACTGGGGCTTGAACTCAGGGCCTCACGCTTCCTAGGAAGGTGCTCTGCCACTTGAGCCACTCCATCAGCCCTTTTTTGTGATGGGTATTTTTGAGATAGGGTCTCACAAACTATTTGCCTGGGCTGGCTTGGAACTGCAGTCCTCCTGATCTCTACCTCCTGAGTAGCTGGGATTACAGGCGTGAGCCACCAGATTCTGCCTCTTGTTGTCTCAATTACTCTCTCTGTGAGATGGAAAGAATCCTCCTGCCCTTATCCCACAGCTGTCCTGCTGAGCTGGACGAGGAAATAAAATTCAGAGCAGCTGGGCTTGGTGGTGCACGCCTATAATCCCAGCACTCGGGAGGCAGAGGCAGGAGGATCACAAGTTTTGAGGCCAGGCTGAGTTACATAGGGAGACCAAGTCTCAAAAAACCCAGGGCTGGATATATAGCTCAGTGGTAGAGCCCCTGCCTAGCGTGCATAAGGCCCCGGGTTGCACCCCCAGCACCCTAAAAAGAAAAAAACCCCAAAACACACTGGAGCAAAAAGTGATTTTTGGTTTTGCTGCTGCTCCCACCCACCGTGTGCATGAGACGATAGGAGGTTCAGCCTGTTCTCCCACCCACCTCCAGCTGGGAAGGTACTCGGTCTTCAGCAAAGAGGGGACAGTCACCCCCGCTGGTCACTGGTGGTTAGCAGGGTGGATAAAAATCACCCAAGGCCACAGACACTGCGTTCCCGGGCGCGGCATGATTATCTGAGGGCTGGCAGAGCCTGGGCGGCCTCTGTGCATCTCCAGCCAGCAGGACACAGGACACTGGGCTGTCCCCGGTGACTTGGAGCTGGCATGGGTTTCCCACATGGAAATGTCATGCCTGGCTCGTGTCCCCTCGTGAGTTTGGATCGCTGAAGTGGTTTCTCGGCACTAGAGTTAAAAGTAGCTGCACAGCCGGACCCGACGCTGGGGCTGGGGTCCGGCTCAGGGAATCCACTGAGGGGTCGCTGTGCAGGGACACACGAGGGGTGAGGTGTGGGGAAATGTGGAGTTTGGATCCTAACACTCAGGACTTCCTGTCTGCTGCCGGGGCTGTTCTCCGTGTGGCACGCCCTTCCCTGCTTCCTTTGCCCACTCCTGCTTGTATTTTGCTTCTCTTTGTTTTTCTTTTGAGAAAGGGTCTTGCTGTGTAGCCGAGGCTGGCCTCAAACTCGAGCTCCTCCTGCGTCCACCTCCCCAGTGCTGGGATTACAGGTGTGCACTACCCTGCTCAGCTCCCCACACGTACTTCGATGTTGTGTCACCCGCCCTGGGTGTTTACAAAGCTCTCTCAAGCATGCTTAGCTCACTTCATTCCCTCCATAGCCCTGCAGGGCAGGAAGAACTGGCTCAGAACGAAGTGATTTCCCAAGGTTGCTGAGCTGGTCTGAGGTAATGGGCTCAGCAACCCAGGGCTTCTGATTCCTGCTCCAGGGCAGGGCCGTTTTTTGGGTGATGGCTCTTCCTAACCCCCCCACCATAGTACTATGTATGTACGACACGCTCATAATGGCCCCTCTTCTTTTGGTGGCAATGGGATTTGAACTCAGGGGTTCACACTTGCAAAGCAGGCGCTCTACCGCTTGAGCCACACCTCCAATCCATTTTGATCTGGTGATTTTGGAGATGGGGGGGGGTCTACAATTTATTGTACCTGCCCTGGTCTCATGAACCTTTGATCACTCCTGTTGTCTCCAAGTAGCCTGGATTACAGGCTGATGTCACTGGTGCCTAGCTATAATGTCCCTTTTTCAGGGAAGGGG